TAACTCTATATAACTCTATATAACTCTATATAACTCTATATAACTCTATATAACTCTATATAACTCTATATAACTCTATATAACTCTATATAACTCCATATAACCATGCATACTACCACATTCAATCAATAAAAAATCCCACAAAAACCAGGAACCACCGCGTACCTGTTGAATGTACGTTATGAAACAGAACAAAAAAAATCACAAAACATAAAACACACCAACAAGTAGAGTAAAAGAATAGAAGTCCCTAACCTACCTATGTAACTAAATTACCTTATGCCCTAGCCTACCTATATAATAAATTAATCTCAATCTCACCTACCTATGTTTAATTAACTTAACTCAAGACTCATGAAGAAAGAGAAAAAGGAGTAAAACAGAACATAAAATACTACCACACAAACAAACATGATGTACGTATGTATGTATGTATGAGCAACCGCTATAGAACCCACCTAAAATATAAAAAAATACAACATAAAAACACACAAACCACAGGCAACATATATAACTCTATATAATTCTATATAGCTCTATATAACTCTATATAGCTCTATATAATAAAATAAATAAAAATTAAAAAAAAAGATCAGGCAGACTGCTTCAAGCGAGGCAGAATGCCTGATCTGATTTTCATGTTGTCTCAGCTCCTATTTATACTCGTTTCAACCATACATTTTCATTATTTCAATCATTCACATCAGTAAAAAACTTGTTTAAAATATGTACTAAACTATTATACAGTCTTAGCCACAATGCTAACCGTACTAAATTGACGTCATCGAACGAACGCTTTCGAAACTTTCTGATTGGCTGGTTGAATCTGCTATATTGCTTTTTTATATAAACATATAATCTTATTAATTAGTTGTATACATGGATTCTAGTTACTTCGGGGAGAATTCAAAATAGTTTGAGACCACACCTTGCTTAACATCCGATTCCAAGCCGAGCCGAGCCAAGCCAAGCCAAGCTGAGCCAATATGCGTAGATTTATAAGCGCTTTTATATTAAAATTTTGCACGCTTTATATATATATTATATAAATTCATTATAATAGCAACAGTAATCAGTGCTACATATGTACGCACGCAGTTCAAATTTTTCGGGGAGAATTCAAAATAGTTTGAGACCACACCTTGTTTAACATCCGATTCCAAGCCGAGCCAAGCCAAGCTGAGCCAATATGCGTAAATATGCATGATTTACCCATCCTATTTTATAAATTTTATTTGATGTCTTTTAATTAGTCAGGTCACAATCATCATCATCATCGATACCGCAGTGAAATCAAATTGAGAATTTTTTAAATTTTTGAAAAAAGTACCTTTATTTATTTTATGATACTACTTTTTTCAATAAGATACTGTTTGATACATATAACTAGAATAAATATAACACCCTTCGCTCACTTTCAACGGAGGGGAGTTGGAGGGTGATTTTTTATCGTTCGAGTCAAAAACAAGGGGAGGCCTATGACCAATATACAACACTTTCTTATGGGTTGAAGCAGTGATATGCAAAGAACCTAAAATTTTTCAACTTTTAAAATTATTTTCGGTAATCATGGATATAATATATATATTGATTAAATTACATACGAACACCTTTTTTCCAGAGTTCATGACTATATTTTTACAACATATACAAAACATTACAACGTTTATAACATTACGTTCATGATGTTATATATAAGACAATATATAATATGTACTTAACATTTACGATGTGCTAACAATATTAAAACAATACACACACACCAAAGACATATTATACGCATGGATATGTCTATACCTATACAAACATCTCAATACCAGCATAACACATACATTATGTAACATTATGACAATATACAAAGGAATGAGTATTATTAATCATCTTTTGGACTTTTTTTTCTGATTTTTAGTGGGATCAATTACTGCTGTGACAGTTTGGGGTGATTTTTTGGTCCTCTTTGGAAGCTGCCAAATACGAATTTAATCGAAATTAAAAAAATTGGACTATTAAAATTATTATTCATAATAACAATAAAAATATTATTATTATTACTAATTATAATACAAATTATAGTTAGCACTTGTAATTATTTTTTATTTCTCACATAAATAGACATGTAAGAAAAGAAAAACCCAACCTTATGCTGTAGATACCCATGCTCCTCCAGTATGTCTCTAGTACAGGAGTTGATGTGTTTGAAGCGATCTGGTCCTAGTAGGATGTTTCCGAACCAACGAGTAACCACCACCATCACGTTTCTCGCGTCCATCTGCTAAAAATTATAATATTTATTAATAATTTGAATATTTATAAATTTACCCTGATTTTTAAAAGTATGATTTATAATATGGTCAATGTTTCTATACTACGAAATAAAATAAAAGTTGTTTAAGTTTTATAAATTTTTTGAATATTTATATGGCAGTAACAATATGATTGATGATGAGCTTAATGTTTCAGAACAAGGAATTCATTTCTGAAGTTCAACCCATTAAAATACGAAGTATGAACAAAACATGATTATAAGTTGCTAACTTCCAAGACGTGAAGCATCCTGCCCCCGGCCTGGTGTTCTCCGTCGTCAAAGGAATCGGCAATAACCTTCCCATCCCCAGTCTCGAGTCTGTAAGCAACGATGTTGTGTTTGGCGGAATTTATCTTGTTATTCTCCTTCAGCTTGTTCACAACCATCTGCACCTGAGGATAACAACCGGATAGTTTGTGAAATAAAATTTAAAAACTGCAACTAAAAAAATTAATTTATTTGGATTAAGTTGATTAAAGTTAAATCAGATGAAATCTAACCTGTTTCTGATGGCAAATAGAAGCCAGATGTCCTTGAAACTCACTCTTCCTGTCGATGATTGACTGGCCGTGGTGGATCGTGGGAAGCACTGAAGAAATTAATTCAGATTTGAAGATGCAAAAAAGGGTGAACTAAAATTAGATCAAATCAATTTGAGAGATGAGTTGATGAAGTGAAACTTCTGAAAAAAAAACCAAAAATGGTCACGAATTGAAAGGAAGATATGACGTGAATAAATTTATATTTTATTTGAATATAAATTAACCATCTTCCGGTTTGGTTTCGGGAGCTTCCTGAAGGTTAGGGACGTAGGGTTGGTACTTGAAGTCACATTCATTCTCACAATCCGCACGCCCACCAGCATTCTTTTCTAAACTGTTTCCCGCTCTTTTTTCAAAATTTTTTGATGATTTTCCAGCTGAACAAATTGATTGATTGACCGACTGATTGATTCATGGATTGATTCCCTGATTGATTCATCGACTGAATGATTCATTCATTCATTCATTAGTTGACTGATTGATTGATTCACTTATTGACTGACTGACTGATTGATTGATTGATTGAAAAAAATATCTTATTACAAAATCAAGTCGTTCAACGGTATCATCACTATCACCCATTACTATTATTTGAATTTACAGTAGTTCAACATTTTACTTGAACTATGTAATAACAAATAAATTCATTCAACTCAATTATGCAGCAAGCAACTTTTTACATATGCCTCTATTTAAAACAACCTTGTATTAAAGAATGAAAAATCATCAACTAATAATTAACCATGAATACATGTGTGTGTATGTGTGTGTGTGCCTGTGTGTATGTTTATGTGTGTGCCACCCACTGTTTTTTGTAGTTTTCTCCGTAGTATCTGGATTGATAATGTCCTTCAGAAATTTTTGGATTCTTTCCAACCAAATGTGAATGACATTCTCTCCAATGTTCTCACTATGAATTAAATTGCAATATTAATTAAATTATCGTTTAATCAGACTTTATTTAAATTTATCCTGATTTTTGAATAATTTTTTAAAAATTATATAAAATGTATAAAGTTTTACAAAAAAAATGCAATAAGAAGACAGTAAATGTTGCTATTCTATCATCCTTATATCAAGTTACACTAACGAGAACATAATTTGAAACAATTATAATCATAGTTATAATTAAATAATAATTATAAATATAAATATACTACAATAGTAGTAATAATAAAAATTATAAAATAATATTAAAATGATACAAACCAATTATAACATCTAAAATAATTATTAAACCAATTTTTCGCAAAGGTACAACAACAACAACACACGTTTAGACGACATTGTCCCCGAGATCGGGGGGTTGCCGTTTGGCTACCTATGATGAAACCGAAATACCCCTCGACGCCATTCCATCATAAGTAATTTATTTGGCTAATTTTTACGCAGGACGCCCTTCCTTACGCAACCACAGTTATAAGCGGTGGGCCTAGCCTTTGATGATCCAACATCACTCACAAGGCAGTGAGGGTCAGTTTAATGTCATAACCAGGACATTGTCATAACCAGGACATTGTCATAACCAGGACATTCGCAAATTTTTCGCAAAGGTAACTTACCAATAAATGTCAGTGAGCATCTTCTTCAACTTGTCCAATTCCCTGTGGTTCAACCATGATGCACTATTGTGGTGACATAATAAGGTCATTATACATACACAAACCAACACACAAACAAACAACAAACAAACCAAACACACACAAATCAACACACACAACCAACACACACACACACACACATACTCAGAGAAAATCACAACAAACCAACACACACACACACAAACAAACCAACTCACTCATATACATACACACAGACACACACACATAAAAATAAGCATTAAAACATACTCAATGTTGTAGATAGGTGGAGCGTGGCTGGGGTACTCAGGGGGCAACTCGATCTGATTTTTAAAAAATTATGAAAAAATTTATTACGACAAAAGTAATTATAACTATATGTATAATTATAATAATAATTAAATATTAAATTAAGAAATATAAATAAATAAATATAATAATATATATCTTATGACAAATAATAATTATAACTATATAAAAAAAATGATAATATTATTATGGTAATTTAACAAGAAATTACGAGATATTTGTAATAAAAAAGCTTCATTAAAAAGCTTCATTAATGAAACCAAATTATAAAAAATGAACGTAAAAGAAATAATCGAATAAATAAAATAAACAAACAAATAAAATAAAATGAAGCAAAAATCATCACTAATTTTCAATAGAAACAATAAATAAAATAAATAATTAATAAAATAAATAGATGATAATAAAACAAAAATTCTCCCTAACTTTCAACACTAATGAGAACGTGTTGCTTGTGGCAGAAACTTCCTTAAAAGTTAATCTAAACTTTCTTTTATTCCTTCGACCAGGCGTAAACTGACTCGAGTATATGGCTCCCAATGTCAGAATCTCTTCATCCTGTGATTGTTTTATTTATTTATTTATTATATGCATAAAATTTATACTAAAAATAAAATAAAACAAATAATTATTGTTAATAAATAATAATATAATAAATATTTACTAAACTAAATAATAATAATAATATAGCTGACCTGCTTAATCAAGTTTTCACTCTTTTTACAACTCATCTTCTCCATGATTTCTTCACTAAATTACTAACAATCAAAGTGGAGCCTCTGTCTAGGTAATGTATAATCTATACTATACTATAATTGAATTGTAATGGCGAACAACACGGATAAGAACAATCAATGGACGAATTCGAGATCCGCTAACTAATTGCACTAATCACAAATTCACTGAAAAACCCAGAACAGGAACGAACGCAAAAATTAGAAAAGACAAATTCTTGCACGAAACAAAGATGCAAACGGATTCTGACTTAGCGAGATCAGGCAGGCCATATTTATAGTCCGAACTTCCTTCCGAAGACTCCATATTGCCAGTAAAAACATAGAAAAGACGCACAGCAGATTAAACTTGGCGCCGTTTCACTTTTGAAAGTGAAACCGAAAATTTAAAATGAAACTGAAGTAGGAATTTTTCACATAAATGTTATAGGAGATAATTTTTTGACTGGAAATAATATAACCTTGTACAAATAATTAATATAATATTATTTCGTAATATATAATTATGAATAATAATAGAATGTTGTAAATACATTGTAAATCTTTGTAGTTGTAAAATACAGATACTACATCTGGAGAGCATTATACATTTCGTGTGTTTTAAAAATGGATATATATTCATGGTTTTAGACGATGAGAATCGTGGTTTTACGATAACTCCTAAGTTGGATCATATGTCGTTTCTTGTTATTTAGTTTGCCACAGAAACAAAAATGTATTTACTCACACACATGCCTCGCCATTGATTTAAGTATAGGAATTAAGCTATAGTCCATAATCCACTGAACCTAGAAGCCAAACTTACAGCCAATGAAACTATCGCCATGAATTATTTGCAAATAAAAGTTATATGCATGGTTATAAAGCTTGTTTTATTATAGATAACTAGTTAGAGTACGTTTGATGATAGGTCGAACAGACAAAGACGATTATTTAATGCATTATGTCTCATTGTAAATATATAAAGACCATACTTTCATGAGGCAAATTCATAGTTTAGTGACGTGTATAAACATTTACTACTGTTGAAACAAATAAGAATCGGTTTTTAATTCTTAAATTTCATTTTTGTCAATTTATTATGAAATTAATTAAATTATAAAAGTATAGAGCATGAGCATTTCTAGCTTATGGATTCGTCTCGAGCTAGATAAGCTGTCAGTTCGACTTTCAATCAATTTCTCATCAAATTAAATGATTAAACTTGCGATTTTTTAGCAAAATTGTTTACTAATTTATTGAAAAAAACCTAAAAAGTCCGACAGAGCATGCACAGCCGATGAGAAAGGTTGTAGATTATATAGACCCTTACCATAAAACTCAATGGCAGAGAAACATTCAACAAGAGAGGCGGCCCTGTTGGACCATCGATCCAACTGATTTGTCTCATCATCCAACCCTTATCAACAAAATTAAAAGTTTTTATTTAAAAATTTGATAAATTTGGCTTAAAGTCTAATTTTTATTTATAATCAATTTCATTAATGTTGATTTTTTTCATATGTTCGTTCGTAACAACATCGCAGTTGCTAGCCTCGTTAGATAAGCATGTGTACATACACAAACACACATACACAAACACACACGCACATATATAAATATACGCACACATACACAAACACACACTAACAAACAAACAAAAAACAGATGAAGATAGTTACAGTTCGAAGACTAGACTATTCGTAGAGAAGCTAAGAACCTGTTCCATCATTTACGATTTTATGGAAAACACGAACTTGGAGAACAAAATGTGCAAGAAGCAAATTATGAGTGAAATCCTCGAATATCTCATCCACGGCCGAAATGTTTTAACGCCAGAGCTCTACCGTGAGATTGTCGATATGGTTAGAGAAATAAAATAAAAATTCATTTCTTGGAATTTATTTTTCTAAATTTTTTTTGAAAATCTGAGAAAAAGTGTATTTTTTAATTACAATTTTCAAAATATTGATTTAAAAAATGGTTATGTAGTGAATTTTGTGTGAAACTTATTAAAATAAACCAGCGCGTTAAATCAGTATCAGTCCTGTTATATAACTATATACTTACTTAATTTTTTCTAAAGAATATTCAAAGAATTATAACAATTTATGTAAATATAATCTCCTAATGAATATGCATATAATACAGGTAAGCAAAAATATATTCAGAAAGCTTCCCAGCTCTGAAATCATGTTTGATGTAGAGGAGGATCATACCTTCTATGACCCATCATGGCCACATTTGCTCGTTTGCCCGTTACATCAACATAATTTATTTGCATATTAATATTTATTTGCATATTAATTAGGGCAGTTATGATTTGTTAATTAGTGTTTAGATTGTGTATGTTATTCATTCATTTGTTCGTTTGTTATTCACTTGTTCGTTAGATGATTGGTTCATTCATTCATTTATTCATTCAATCAATCATTTGTTTGCTCACTCGCTTGTTCGTCCTTTCATTCATTTTTCGTTCATTCATTTATTCATTCATTCATTCATTCATTCATTCATTCATTCATTCATTCATTCATTCATTCATTCATTCATTCATTCATTCATTCATTCATTCATTCATTCATTCATTCATTCATTCATTCATTCATTCATTCATTCATTCATTCATTCATTCATTCTGCAGTTATCTTACGAAATACTGACGCAGTTTTTGTACCTACCTGACTTCAAAACATCTCTGGCCCGTCATTACATCAATGAAAATTTCATCGACCAAGTGTGTGTTTGTTTGTTTGTGTATGTGTGTATGTGTTTGTTTGTGTATGTGTGTGTGTGTACATATGTTTATGATTCCTAATGTAAATACGTATTCGTGTACTCATGTGTTTTTACCTACACGTGTCACTACAAATTATAACAATAATCATCATTGTGATCGTAATAATAATAATTATTCTTATTATATAATTATTATTAATTATGAATGTTATATTACTTGAAACATACGCAGTTCATGGATTTGTTTCTAACACGTGATGGGCGGGAGAGGGTTACGCTGCAGAAGATCCTCCTTAAAATATACAGAGCCTTCATCGTCCTCAGGCCTTACATAAGAAACAGATTCTATGAGTGTTGTTGGAGGTCTTGGAAAAATTTGCCTACCTGTCTCTCTCTTTTTTTCTCTCTCTCTCCCTTCCTCTCTCTCTCTCTCTTTCTACTTTTCTCTTTCTCCTCTTACTCAGTTGTTTTTCTTTCCTTTTTCAAAGAACATCGTACGTCTGAATGGCCTATGACAAATTTATTTGCAGGTACACGTTTGACGAAGTCTACGTAATTGGTCTACCGGATTTGATGCAATTTTATTCCAAGTAGGATTCGGAGTGAAAAAATATATCGTATTTAGATAAGTTTTGTTCGTTCATTCATTCTTTTGTTCATTCATTTGTTAATTCATTTATTAATAAATTAATCTATTCATTCATTCATTCATTCATTCAAACTCAACTTATTGGCTCATCCATTAATTGGCTCATTCAATCATTCATTCATATATTCGTTCGTTCCTTCGTTCATTCGTTCATTCATTCATTTACTCACCTAGCATAATACCTGGTTTTGTGTTCCCTCTGGAAGCTGAGCACGAGATATTTTTCACTAACATCTTTCTACTGCTGCATTGCGGTGCCATGTATCCCCACTATTATAAAAGGGTACCTTATTATTATTATTATTATTATTATTTTATTATTTTTTTTTATTATTATTATTATTTGACTTTTATTTTAAATAAAGAATTTTATTAATCATTAAAGTACCTCGACTGCATATACGAACTGCTTTTGAAAAATCCCAAACTCTACGAAAAGGTAGGCTTGTGCGAATAATAACAACAATAATAATATAAATAATGATAGTAATAAAAATATTAATAATTATAATTATATAATAATAATAATTATTATTATTGATTTATATTAACTAAAGGTTGTCGATGTAATAATAAAGTATTGGCCAAAAACTTCTTCCGCAAAGCAAGTTAGTGTACCATCATCGTCGTCGTCATCATTATAATTTAATAATTATATTATAATTACTATCGTTATAATTATTACAAACATCATCATCGCTTTCATCATCATCGTCATCATCAGTTGTTATTTTTGAAAGAATTGAATGATTTACTGACTGATATAAAATCAGAGGAGTTTGAGGTCATATGCATTGACTTGTTCACTCTTCTAGCCGATTGTTTCTCTAAACCAAATTATTATGTTCGTAAATAATTATTTATTTTAATTATATAAATATTATTTGATAATAATAATAATATAATTATATATTATATATATATCAGCATAATATTTTCTGTTTCATTATTATAACAGTTTGCTCATAGCCAATCACTGTCATGCTTGTTGTCGATTTCTTAAGACAAGTTCACACATACACACACACACACACACACACACACGCACACATACACACGCACACACACACAGGTATTTGATGGGGCCCTGGATGTATTGAACAATCCGACAATATGCTCCCTTATAAAAACTTACACGGATACTGTCTATCCTATAATAGTTCCGGTTTTATTGAAATCTATGGAGGCCATTCACGTGCCGAATAAGGTTAAAATACAAGCAATTATCACCAAATTTAGGAATGATTCTGAAAAAGATTTCTCGTTTTCGTTACTCAAATACGAAGAGTGAGGAATTTTTTGGTTTTGTATTTAATTCTTTTTTCTACATTTTTGCAATTATCAAACTTTAAGTTTCATCGGGCATTACGGCGTTTCATTTGTTTAATGATTGATTTAAATGTAATGTAACTTTTCAAAGTCAGTAATATTAATAAAAGCTTATTAAGTGAGGATATTAAAACATTTATTGACAAATGTTGATTTAAAAATTTAAATTTAGCCGAACTAGAAAGAGCCCAATCGAAGAAGACTTTTGGAAGCATGTGGAAGACATGGCAAAGAAGAGGCAGCATCTGATCAGACCTGTAAAGAGTCAGAACAAGGTAACTCTAGACGAAGATGAAAATATCTCAATAATTAAAGTCAACGAAGAGAATCAAATCGATCTCTTCCCCCACAAAGTGCTGCCGAATTTGAACATGGAAGCAATACAGAACATAAAACCGAAAAAAACCAAGAAACAATCCTTATTCTCTCAGGTTAGATCAATTTTCGTGTCGGATATGATCACGGATAACGAAGATATTGAAGAGGACGGCTTGTTTGTGGACAATTTTTCTCTGGAAGAATCGAAATCAAAAGATGGGGATGAGGAGGAGGAAGATGAAGAGGAAGGTAGTTTCATCAGTTTGGAGTCTGAAGTTTCTGCAAGTGATGAAAAATCCGTCTTTTTTAGATTTGGTTGCCCTGAAACTTGAATAACTTGAAAAAATTACCAAATTTGTTTTATTAACTACTTTTTTAATAATTATTTTCCTACGTGCGCACTAAGCTTATTTGGTATAAAGATGTGGTTTTGTGTGGTATTTGTATTTTTTGCGCGTTGTACTCACAAACTTGGTTAATTGATTGATTGATTGACTGACTGACTGATTGATTGATTAATTGATTGATTGATTAATTGATTGATTGACTGATTGATTATATCACATGTTAAGGTCTCAATTTCTACTTGTTAAACTCGTTTACTTGTCTTTGCGAATTTTTATTAACTGTTCTCCGGTAAATTAACGATAATATATTTTTTTAAATTAAATAAACAAAGTTCAAATTTTTCTATTTTCACACTAAAAAAATGATCAGGATTAAAAAAATGAACGTTTTGGTGTTAATTCTTTTTATAATTACGGTTGTCATTGTAGGATTTTTGTACAAAAATCCTTCAACTGTCTACAACTATTACTACAACAATAATAATAATAATAAAAATGATAACAGTATTAATAATAATGATGATGATCTAAATTTCAAATCAAATATAATGTTTAGAGAAAATGACAAATTAAAAATACGGACCCCAGTGAAATCAAACCTTGATGATCAACATATTAATAATAATAATAATAATAATGATAATATTGAAAATAATAATAATCATATAAATAATGACGACGATGATGATAGTAACATTAATAACAATCGTAAGAATAATAATAACAACAAATCAAAATTAGGGACAAGAGTACAGTCCCCACTCATCGAAGAAAGTAACGATGAGAATATCCCCTTGGAGTATGTGGATTACGGTAATGATAATAATTATTCAAACGATTCAAATAAGAAGAAAGATACTAAAAAACAACAAAGGAACAACAACACTAATCCTAATTTAGATCCACCTAATATAAAGCCAGTAAAACTTTACATAAATTCTCACAAACAAATAATAAACAATCCAAATAATGAACAAAAACAACAACAAACGGCTAATACCACAGATAAAACAAAGGAGCTGAAAGATTATGTTGACTTGAGTGCCGCTACACCATCCTATCAAACTTATATTGTTATTCATAACGGGTATGCTTCTTATGTTTCTAGCAAGGGCGATATCTATCTCAACATCCCCCACACTGTGCCAAAGCAGTATTATACTTTCACATCAAAGAAGTTAGTTTAATTTTGTCGTATTATAATATTTAGATTAGTGATGCCAGTGATGTTTATCACTATATATCATTGATTAACTAATTTCAACCTCAATTAAAATCAAATTTCATGCTCATCCCTAGTCTTCCGAAGGACCCGATGATGAGACCAAGCCTAGGGAATGGTTTCATTGGTACCGTCGTTGATTCAGAATATGTTCACATTAGTGGTTTTCACGTTGGAAAGTTTAATGAAAGTCATCGCGCCCCGGTGCCTTCGACTGTTTTGTTTGATCTCTCCGTAGAAGGAGGAGTCAAAAGAAGTTCGGGGATTGTCAGTCATAAGCTGGATGTTTCTAAGGGTTAGTGTTAAATTTGATATACACACATGCGCACAAGCAAATGAATAATCACACACATTCACACATAAGCACATCATTTTTATTCCTAATTTTAGGCATCTACACAAAAACTCACGAGTACAGAAACTTCATGATCCATAAAAGAATCTACGCTCATCGGGAAATTCCAAATCTGCTGGTGGCCGAGATTGACTGTGTCCGAATACGAGCTGATGTCGGAATGCCTACAATTAAGTTGAATCTTACAAAATGGCAAGATTCTGGTGAAATTATGTTTGAAAAGGAGCCAAATATCCTCCCCAATACTAGGTATTGCTGTGTATATGTACATAAGTATCTTTGTATGTATGTAAGTTTGTATCCATGTATGTTTGTTTGTTTGTTTGTTTTGTTGTTTTCTTTGATAATGTAATTTCTTTCTGTTTTTCTTGCTCTTGCTTTCTCTTTTTTTCCACTCTCCCTCTCTCTCTTAATCTCTCTCTCCTCTCTCCCTCTCTCTCTCATCATCATCACAGTTTCTCACTTATTTAGTTAGAAAATTTTTCTTTCTTTCTCTCTCCTTTTTTTCTCTTTCTCACCACACTATCTCACTGATTCAGTTTGAAAGTTGGAAGATCACTGGCTCCGGAAACAGTGGGTATGGTTGATGTAGATTTGAAGTTGTTCGTTATGTACGATCACTTGCCAAAAACCTTGAAACCATCGAAAAAAATGTTGAGGTTGGTTGGTTGGCTGGCTGGCTGGCTGGCAGGTTGGTTGATTGGTTGGTTGGTTGGTTGATTCGATTGTTTTACTGGCTGGTTGGCTAGCTGACTGGCTCGTTACATATAGGGCAGTTTTTCAAAATTTTTCAAAAGTGCAATGTATATAATCACCGAAAGTAAATATTTCATGTACCCAAATTAATTACAACCATATTAAAACATAATTACGAATAAATAAATAATTAATTTATTTCCATAATTTCTAATCATAACATACAGAAGCAAATGGGTGTTCTTGACTTCGTATGCTTTTAGTAGGGAGGAATGCTTACGTTCTTATAATATGGGTTTCTTTTTTTATGTCTGTTTATTTCATCTTTTTAATGATTGGTTGGTTGGTTGGTTGGTTGGTTAGTTGATTGGGCCGTTGGTAGATTGGTTAGTTGGCTGATTGGTTGGTTGATTGGCTGATTGGTTGATTGACTGACTTACAAACTTATTAATTTATCACTGAAATAACCACCATCACCAAATCATTATCATCATCACAATCGTCATCATTACCACCATTATATTCACAATCGTCGTCATCATCATCATCACAGTCGTCGTCGTCATCATCATCATCATCATCACCGTCATCATCATCATCGTCTCCAGGGAAAGACATGATAGCTGGTAAAGATGGACTGATTGTGTCACACGTTAATGCTTGGAAAGAGATATGGAAATCTGGTGAGGGTGATGATGATGATGATGATGACGGTGATGATTATGGTGGTGATTATTCTTACGCATCCAATCACAAACACGAAGGTCGGGTTGATATCGAGGTCAAGGGCGACAAGGCTAACAATTACAACTCAACACTCCCGTCTGTCATGTACTCCTCCCTCTACTACATCCTCAGCTCCTTGCCGCTACAGTTCAGTCCATCGTTCGTCGGAGTTTCAACCTCGGGTCTGCCGTACGGTGGGCCTCACATGGTAAGGTGGGGATCTGCTTGGCAGGATGGGTGGTCGGCTCTCCGTGGTTCATGAAGAGTTTCTTTATAATGAGAAATTGTTTTGTTCGTGCTTTAAGTCCACGATGTTCGTGTTTCTGCTTATTTTTGATCTGATGTTATTTGCGTTTAAATAGATAGAATGGCAATTCATATAATCTATCTATCAACCAACCAGCCAATCAGAAGTCGAGTGACAGCTGAACAAGAACTCTTCTTATCTCCACTGCTCCTTCTGCTGCACCCAGGCTTGCAGTTGAACCTGCTCCTGTCGAGGAGGCAGATTTTGTCTGGAGCTTTTAAGAACGCTGAACTCAATAAGCAGAGAGGTGTTGTTTATGCATTTGAGAGCGCCTACACTGGTTTGTCATTATAAAACTGAATTTTTTTAGATTTTTTTGATGATTGTGCTTTGTGCTTTGATGATGAACTCAATTTTGTCAAATATGCTCAAACCTTTTTCGCATATATACTTATTCACATGTACGTACGCACACGCACATACACACGCACGTACACACACTCACACAGGTGTTGAAATGAACGCGAACATGTCGCGTGGTGTCTTCTCATCATACACGTCTGCCAGTGTATCATTCTCTATCCTTCAATACATCTACGCCACCAACGACACCGACACAATTGAATCGAAACTATCTGGTCTCGTATCGAATATATCGGAGTTCCTCCAGACCCGAATGCGAATAAATTCAGATAACTTCAAAATCGATATACCGAACGAAATACCGTTCGATAGTTCGCACGGCCCTATCACGAATTCTCCTCTGTCAAATGCGCTCATCAAATCGGCCATCTTTTTGCCGACTTTGCTGAAAACTTTTCGCGGGGACTCTTCTCCAATTTCACCATGGATTCTTGAAGCCGAGAATATTACCGAGTTGAAGGTTTTGGATGAGAGCAAAATGATCTACGCTCCGTTTGACGAGTTTGGTTAGTTTATTTCTACATGGATGGAGTCCTTCTAGAAGTGTCTTGTGTTTGTGTTTTACGATTATTTTTGAATCATAATGTTATAATATTGATAAATTGTTATATATCCAAAAGATCCTGCTAAAGATAAGATATCAGAGGCGGATGTGTTGATGCTGAACTATCCACTACCATCGTTGCTACCAAAGAAATCCATCTTTAATAACCTGAACTACTTCAAAAAAGTTCGTAATTTGTTGGTATTATTGTCAATGTTGCTCTGTATTTCTAACTTTTTTAAATTACTACAACCGATAGTACTAACTAATCCTTGTCTCGTGATTGTTATCGCGTTTTACTTAAAATACGTTTTATCACTACAGGTTGATAACTTTTTAATAGTAGTAATAATGACGATACTAAAGTTAATTAACCTGATTAATATTCATGAAGATCCTGTCGACAGAAGCCTCGCCCATGACGATATGCTCAAATCTGATTGGCTATCTATCAGCCAATGAGAAACAGTCTGCTGACGATCTTCTACACGTTCTGTTAGAACATACAAGATATCTCAAATTTAAGGTTAATATTTATTTTTTAAAATCTTATTTGGAGTTTTTAATAATAATATTTTGAGTATGACGTAATTTTCATTCATAATTTTGCAGTTGGAGATACATTTTGTCATCTTATACAGTTTTATTTCGAATCCTTGAATGGAGTATTGCGATGTCTTGTCATTATTCGTCACACTATGAATAGCTTACGTGATATAAATTTTATTTCCGTCTATTTTTAACGATAGATTATTTAGGAAATTCAATTTCTCCTGGCAGACGTGGGTGAGTTACGACCGCGAAAACCGGCGCATCCCTAATCACATTCCCGCCATGGCGGGAATGCTTCAAGTCGTCATCAACGGTTACCTGGGGATTCGCCTGCTATCTGATAGGCTGAATTTAAATCCGAAGTTACCTCCCACCGCCAAATCCGTGCACCTGATAGGTCTAGATTACCTGGGTCATGTTATGAATATTTATGTGGACGAGAATGAGATAATCATTACTTTGATCAAAGAGCCTAAGAATGTTGGCGATGCTAATGACAATAGCGACATCAATAACGATAATGATAAAAATAAATTGGTTTTAGTTAAGGATATTCACGGCGAGATACGCGACTTGAAGTTGAAGAATTCTATAAGATTTAGCATATCAAACTACACTATAATGACTTTAAGAAACTTGAAAAAACATCTCTAAACAGTGTTCAAAATAATCCGCGATGTCTTTACATTCTTGCTTTTACTTTATATAGCTGGTTGGTTGACTGATTGATATTAATGATTGATTGAACAACTATATCAAGATTGGATGAATGACGGACGAACGACTGAATGAATGAGGTTGAATTTAATACATATCTCTCATTCCATTTTGTTACTTACTCTTAATTAATTTGTCTTCCTTAATTGTTTCTACAAATGTTTTGTTTGAAATTTTTATGAAATATTTGAAAATTTTGTTGAAAAAATTATTAGTATTCTTAAAATAATCAAGCCACAATTGATCTACAGTGTCCTTCGTACCTCATGATAACGAAACGGTATCATGATAACGAAACGACATCATGATAACGAAACGACATCATAATAACGGTAAAACAGCATGCTTGTGATGGATTAAAATATCAAAGACTTTAGCAAATGTACGATGGGTAAAAAGTTAAAAAAATAATTCAAAAAACGAAAAATATATCCTTCGTATTTACTAGATGAATGGTGTGACACACACGCACGCAGACAAACACACACATATATATATATAGTACTGTATGAATTCTACCGAATTGTAGACATTATTCAATTTAAGGTTTGTCTTTTCAGTTTTTCTTACTAGAATTTTCGGGAAATAGTTCAATTTATTGAAAATAGAATTATATTCTATTAATAATAATTAATATATATATATATATATATATATGCGTGTGGTAATACAATATAGTAAATTGCAATAGAAAACAAGGATTGTTTTGAAGAGGCCAAATAACATGGTAGAAAAAGTGAGTTAGGTAAAAATGGCTTCATGTTACGCTATTCTATGTATTGTGGTGTTGTTCGTTCCTGTTAATTTGTTTGAATTGCCTATTTTGTTTATAAATAAATAAGCAAATATATATATATAAATTTATATATTACAATAAATGTTATTGAGATATAAGACAACAGATTAAAATAATAAAAGTCTAACATCAAGACATGTATGCATGGTTATGTATGCATGAAACAAATTTCTTATAAACAATTGGGATGAGAAATAAACACGATTGGCAGACTGCACTGCAATAATAGTAATAATAATAATATTACTGTAATAATAAACATTATAAACATAATTTGTTACACACATGCACACACAAACACGCGCGCACACACCCACAAGCAAACATATGTGTAATGTTCAAAATCCTAAAAAGCTTGGGATTAACTTTAGAAAAAAATGTTTACATAGTCTTATGTCATCACATCATCGTAATAATAAAAGCCACAACCATCAAAATCACCATCATCATGTCCAATTTTTGTCATCTCCATGTCCAGTTTTTATCATCATCATTATTATCACTAGCATCATCACCAACGTCACAATCGTCGTCGTCATCTCCTTTTCATCTTAGGTAGTAACCAAATTTTCATCGTAATGTAGAAGATTCTTCTCTCTTGCAAAGTGTAGCAGCTGCTTCCTGTTTTTTCGTCCAAAAAACCCAAAAGATCAAACAATTTATTTTTAAAATTTGAAATTTGATACTTTTAATAAATGAAAATAATTCACAGACAAAAAGAATTTACATTAAAATCTAAAATCAAGCAACAAAAAACAGATCATAATAATCCCTATCCGAATGCAAAACTCCTAATCCCTAACTTACCTGAAAGCATCATTTGAGAGCACTCTTTTTCGAGCATCTTTTACGAATCTGGCGGCAGTTATTGGCCCCCAACGCTTGTAGACCATAGTGTAAGCCACTGCCAGTACCCCACTCCTGTTTATGCCCATGACACAGTGAATTAGGGCTTTGCCCTGGGAGTCCTTGGCACTTTCGATGGCCTCGTACGCTTCGTTGAAATGTTGCAACATGTTGTAGTCTTCCTCATCCTCTGCCTCAAACTCTACATATCTGGTTTTGTGGGGTTTTTTGATTAAAAGGCTTGTTTTTAATTTGTTGATTACAAAAAATTTGAGAAAAATTGATAACCAGCTTATCTAAGGCCTAAGCTATATGTGACTATCTTATAGAATGAAACATCATTTTGACAACATTAATTGATACAATATACAACTCTTGAAATAAAACTGTTATTATATTCAAATAATTTGTGTCTTACTTACTTTTGTAACGTATTACCATAGTACTTGGAACCAGTACATACATATGTGGATGCACAGTTGATAACGTGGGTTATTCCTAATTTCTTGATTAAATTTTTATCCTTTGCCTCATCCTCCCCACCTAAATATAGGAAATCAAACACCTTAGTGCAACCATAAGGGAACCCGTAACAACAATCAAGAAGATTTTCTAGTTTAGTGTAGTAGAGATTGAATTCTTGATCTTTTTCTTTTTCATCTTAAATTAATTTAAATGTTCGACTATTTAAATTAATTTAAAATTTAAATTAATTTAAATTTTAAATAAAAATCAAAAGAAGATGAAAATTAAAAAAATTGATCTCTGTCAACTTCCTTCTTCTTGACCTTTTAACTTTATGTCCATTCTAAAAACTAATCAAATCAAATCCTAAAAATTATTTACAATTTTAATACTTTTAATTAAATATAAATTACAAATAACGAAAAAATTAACTATATTATAAATATTAAATAGACATTTTTTTAAATATTTTTGTTGAGTTGTGCCGTTGTTTCGCATTCTATTTCGTAACCGGACATTTTCGCCACCAATAATTTTGACACTAGAGTTTGAGAGTGCATCATTATAGCTAAAAAATCAAAGGCTTAAGAATAAGTTTGTTTGATGAAACTTATTTTAACAGAAAGTTAAAACTTATAATATTAGGATAATTTCGGTTTATATATATTGTCTGCCTTTAAAGTCCTTTTTCATAAAATTGTTGCTATTTTTTCTTTAAATTTGCGAAAACTCCAAGAATAGAATATTTATTTTTTTATTCACGTTTATGCTATATTATTATATATAACATAAATACCATTATAGCATTAGCACAAGCTTTATTTAT